TACAAAATTATGGAAAAACATTTATAGGTGTCCTAACATTTTTTTAAAGTTATGGTCAAAAAACGTTTTTTTGCAAAATTAAAAATCAAAAAAAAATTTAGTTAAACTTTATTAATATATCAGAAAGTACTCTCGCTTTATGTCCGCAGGTGAGATCTACAATTTAAAAAAAAATTCAACTCAAAAGCTCTTCATGATTTCGAGATATTTATGAAAATGTGATGTTTACACACACACACACACACACATACGGAATGACATTTTTTAAAAATGTCATTTTTGAACTCCTGAGGTCAAATAACATAAAGATATGTCAAAAAATCGAACTCGAAAAATTTCGGTATTACAATACTTCCTCTATGAGGAAGTAATTTAATTATTGAATTTTATTAAAATTTTAGAAAATAGTCAAATCTTTTTAAAAAATTTTATAACGAATTAAGAAAATAATTAAATCCTTTTAAAAAATTTTATAACGAATTAAGAAAAATATTGAATTCTTTCGTGAAATTGTTTTCAATATAATTGAATTTTTTTAGTTATAAATAAAATTAAATCGTTTCGAATGATTTATTAAAATTTTAGAAATTAATTGAATTTTTTCGAAATATTTTATAACAAATTAAGAAAAAAATTGAATTCTCTCCTGGAAATTTTTGAAAATAATTGAACTTTTGCAAAGATTTTACTATTTAAAAAAATAATTTAATTATTTCCAAGGAATTACCTATTAAAATTTTTGAAAATAATTGCATTCGTTCGTGAAATTTTATAAAAATTTTGTTTAAAAATAACTGAGTTTTTGCAAAGAATTTTACTATTTATAAAAATAATTGAATTCTTACGAAGACTTTTATTATTTATGAAAATAATAGAATTCCTTCGAAGAATTTTATTAAAATTTTACACTGAAAAAAAAACTAGTAGATTTGACTACTTTTTAACTACTCTACGTAATTCAATAGGTCCTCAACTGAATTCAAATAGTTGTACTAACTATCATAAAAGCAGTTAAGACAACTAAGAATGTAGTTGGTTGAATGTGATTTAGTAGTTTATTTGACTAACTTTAAAGTAATTATAACAACTAAGATTTTGGTAGTAGATTTTACTACTTAAAGTAATTCGATAGGCTTTAACGACATTTTTGTTGTAGAATTAACTATTATTTTGTTTTTAAATCTACTACTTTAAGTAGTAGGTTTTACTACCTAAAGTAATTCGATAGGCTTTAACGACATTTCTGTTGTAGAATTAACTATTAAAAGTAGTTAATGATCTGTTTTATAAAGTAAAAATTAACATCTTTTTGTTTTTGTCAGCAACTACTTAAAAGTAGTAGAATTATTTATTATTATTTATTAATTATTATTATTACTGAAATTCATTTTTTCATCTCCTCTAGCATTCCTATTGGTCACATATACTTTATAATTTTCAACACTTATGTACATAATGGAGAAAAATCCTCAAACGCCGGGGATTGAACGCACGACCCTAACATTCGCAAACCGATAACCTAACCACCTAACCACGCTCGCACGCTACGATGGTCTGCATGAAACCTGATGACATTCTTGACATAGATCAACCGACAACTGTAGTTCATTTTACAATGTAATGTAGTAGTATTTACTACTTTTACTAGTTCTTTTATCTTCTTTAAATTCTTATTTCTGAACTTTGCTTTATTTAAAAATGCTGTTCAATCCTTTCTAATTACTTTAAGTAGTACAATCTACTACTCAATGTAGTAAAACTTAAGTTCAAAAAGTTAAAATTATCTATTATTTTCTCACCAAAACTACTGCATTGTGTAGTAGATTTTGCTACTTAGAGTGGTTCGATAGGCTTCAACAATATTATTCATTTATTTTTATTACTCTAATGTTGTAGTCAAATCAACTACTATAACTACATAAAAGTTGTAAAGTCTATTACACGAAAAAGGTTTGACTAATAAAAAAATTAGTTCCCTCTACTACTTTACGATAGTCAGTTGTGCAAGTCACGTGTTGTTTCAAATTCAACCGTATAAATTCTTTAATTCAACAATTTGGTGTTAACTATATTAAAGTAGTAAAATTTACTAGTTAAGAAAGTGTTACGTTACTTACAAAAGTAGTCCCTTTTACTACTTTCTATTTATTACTATACAATTGTTAAATTTACTACTTATGAAATGTTGAGTAAACTATTATCTTAGTTGTTCTTACTACCACACTGTAGTCAATTCTACAACTTACCTGTTGTTAAAATTTAACTACATATATTAGTAGAATCAACTACTATTTATCAACTACATAAAAATAGTTAAATTAACTACGCAAACCGGGTTAGACTAACTAAAAAAGTAGTTGTTTTTACTACTTTTCACTTAACTACCCAAAGGTAGTTGAATTTGTCAGCCTAATTTTTTTCAGTGTAGAAAATAATTAATTTCTTTTAAAAAATTTTGTAACGAATTAAGAAAAAAATTGAATTCTTTCGTGAAAATGTTTTAAATATAATCGAATTTTTGCAAAGAATTTTTCTATTTATAAATAAAATTGAATTGTTTCGAGTAATTTATTAAAATCTTAGAAAATAATTGAATTTTTTCAAAAATATTTTATAACGAATTTAGAAAAAAATTGAATTCTCTCATGAAATTTTCTGAAAATAATTGAATTTTTGCAAAAATTTTACTACTTAAAAAAATAATTAAATTGTTTCCAAGGATTTATTAAAAATTTTGAAATTAATTGCATTTGTTCGTGAAATTTTATAAAAATTTTGTTTAAAAATAATTGAATTTTCGCAAAGAATTTTACTGTTTATAAAAATAATTGAATTCTTACGAAGAATGTTAATATTTATAAAAATAATTGAATTATTGCGAAGAATGTTATTAAATTTTTTGAAATTAATAAACAAGAATAATTAATTAGTAAATTAGTTAATAATTGAATTTTTTTAAAGCTTGATTCTGAAATTATTCAAAAATTCATATTTGAAAATAAAAAAAAATTTTAATTTGCATAATAGTAAGAAATTGAATATCATGTTCAAATGCGTAACATTTGGTAGTTCTCAATAATTATTGGAAAGTTCTTTTGGATTTTAATTATTTAAATACAAAGATTTAATTTTTATAATAATTTACCATAAAGCGTTATGGTATTATATACCTGGGAAAAGAAGAAATAAGGCGCAGGTTTTTCTTTGCTAAATAATTAATTATGATAGTAATGTAAATATTCATGAGTTGTAAATTATATAATTTCTTTGACTTATTAAATTTCGATGAATTTAATCAAACATTGAGGAAGATTAAATGCGGTAGGTCGATAATGTCCACTTGTAGGGATATATATACATGAGCTGATAGAACCAATGGTTGCCGCACGATCTCGCCACAGCCAATTAGCGATCTCTTATTAATCCTCTTAATTAAGGATTACTGCAAGATTCTATTATCCTCTTATAGTCACAACATATGCTTTTCGAACGTTGAATAAAAATATTCCAATTATATAGATTTATCGATAAAAAAAAAAAATGATTTCGTATACACGTCTTTTTGAAGGAATTTTTCATTCTGAATAGAATTTATTCATTCTATTAAATTAGTTCTTCGATGGAAATTTCATATTATATTACAAAGAAAATATATTTGTATTTTCTCTTTAGGAAATTTTGTTTTAGTTTGTTCCTCTTTTTGTTTTCTTTTTGATGTATTGATACGTCTTCTTTAATAATGATATTGCATGATGGGCTTTTGAAGTTTCGATGCAATTGAATCCCCTTTAGAACTGAATCCACCTTTGTGTACATATTATATAGCTACCCCCTTTAAAACTTTATTTATTATTCATCCTCTCAAATTGGAAGTTTAATTTGAATAGTGATATACTAAATGCAAATCCTAAACAAATCATTCGATAAGGTTGAAATTATGCAGTGCTAGGTCTTTCTGACGCAGTGGTCAAGCGGTGCAGAAATATTCTTCAGATTCTTATGTGTATTTCAAATTTTTTTGTTCAGTAAAAGAATATGAAGCTGAAACCGACACCTACTCAATTTTGGAAATTAAATTTAAACGTTAAATACTTTTTATGAAGCTGAGAGTAGCACCCACTTAACTTTTCAAAATTTTATGAAGGTTTTTTTAAGCAAAAAATAATATTCCACTTTAAAATTTACTTTTCAAAATTAAGTGCGGGTGCCAGGTTTAGCTTCATTAAAAGAATGCCTACACTAAATGAATAAATGCATTAATTAAAGTTTAATGCTACTTTGTAATCTTTATGCAAACTAAGTTATTAATCTTGTTTTAATTGGCACTCGAAAGTATATAGAGAACTTTGTGTAAAAATGAACAAAATCAAGATTCTCCTTTATGTTTGAACATCGATATCTTAAGCGTGTGTATTTTTTTTCTTTGTTGTTGTTGTAAAGTTAAACGCCAATACAGCATAAAAGGAAAAGAGCTGATGAGTGGTAGATCGGACCGCGCGGTCTGGCGTGTTTCTACTCGCCGTAGCCAATTACCGTTCCCTCATTAACCCTGTAATAATCGTCGAGCACTCTCAGTCCTCAGAGCACAATTGCTCGTGAAAAGAGTACTCTCACCGCTTCACCAGGCGCATACACGTCCCTACAATTCATACCTTTGTACCTTTAGCATCCAACAATTTCTAGTTTGTGCATGCACAAATTACAAATTCAACTCTGTAAACAATATGCATCGCAAAAACGATACAATATACAAATTAATTTAACGAAAATTTCTCTTTAGAGTAGACCGCTTTTGTTTTCTATTATTAACAGTGTTTTCATTTTCAAAAAAAAATTTATTTTTGGTACAGTCGTTTTTTAATACTTGAGTTTTCAACTCGTAAATATTTATTTACGACCTAAAAATTTAATTTGATACGGGACTCAAAATAAATTTTTAGTGTCATTCTATTATTTCAATTGTGGAAATGATGATAAATTATTTTTTTTTTTGCTTGCAGGGAAAAGATGATTTTGTCTGCATCTCCTGGTTATGTATTTGCGAAAGCTACAACGAATTTTTCACTACTGAAAGGAATTTTCAATTTTCAACTGACTTTGATTTTATCTTTTACAAATACTGGTTCGGGAAAAAGAGGAGAAGCGTATCAAATTGCGTCGATCGAGATAATCTATGATTGGTAAGTCCCTCTTAACTTCAGTATTGTGGTGGAGTCAAGTTGTAACATATTTACAGGGTTACCACGAGTGATAAAAATCAGGAGAGTTAGGAAAAAAGGAAAGAAAAATAAAATTTGTCAGCAAAATCAGAAAATGACGGAGAATTTTATCAAAATACTGAAAACATATTATATTTCTAGAAACACAATACAAAAATTCGGGCTTTTGGTGTCCAAAAACATTTTTGAAAAACTTAATCTTAAATATTAGTTGTTAATAAGCAATTTGGTAACGACTTTTTCGACTAAAAATTGTTGGTAAACAGCAGATGAAGTTCGCTCAAAAAATAATTTTCCATCTTCTGCTGATTATCGGCTGTGGTTACTTTTTATGAATTGTGATTAAAAGTAATTTTGATGAACCGGATAGTAATTGGGATTGTTCTAATAATAGTTTGAAATCAGTAAAAAATTTTTTAACTAAAAATTGTTAGTAAACAAAGGATGTAGATCGCTCGAAAAATAATTTTTTATCTTCTGCTAATTGTCGGCTGTGGTTACTTCTTATGAATTGTGAATAAAAGTAATTTTGATGACCTAGATAGTAATTGGTATTGTTCTAGTAATAGTTTGGGATCAGTAAAAAATTTGTTGACTAAAAATTGTTAGCAAACTGAATATAAAGTTCGCTCAAAAATGATTTTCCATCTTCTGCTGATTATCGTCTGGGGTTACTTTTTATGAATTGTGATTAAAAGTAATTTTGATGACCCAGATAGTAATTGGTATTGTTCTAGTAATAAGTTAGGATCAGTAAAAAATTTTTTAACTAAAAATTGTTAGTGAAGTTTAGATAAACTTTGCTCAAAAAATAATTTTTCATCTTCTGCTGATTATCGGCTGTGGTTACTTTTTATGAATTGTGATTAAAAGTAATTTTGATGACCCAGATAGTAATGAGGATTGTTCTAGCAATAGTTTTGGATCAGTAAAAAATTGTTTGACTAAGAATTGTTAGTAAATCGAAATTTATTGAAAACAGTCATTAAAAATTTATTTCTTCTAATTTTTAATATTTCTAACATTGGTAAATTATCTGATTTATAGTTGGGATTGAGCCTTAAAGGATCCTGAAGGATAGAGATTTTTATTTCAACTTTTAAGTAGTAGCAGCACCTCCATTTGCCACCTAGCAGACAAACTCAAAATTTGGGTAAAAAGGTATTAATAATTTATTGTTTCTAAGTTTTTTAATTTCTGCCATCTGGAAATCTCCTAAGTTGTACTAGAGATTTAGCCTTAAAGGATCCTGAAGGTTAAAATATTTTATTGTATAGCCTTAAAGTAGTAGCAGGTCCACATGTTCGTTATCAGACATCAAAATTGGCATAAAGAGACGTTTAAATTAAATTGTTTTTAATTTTATTATTTTTATGGACTTTTATTAACCTAGATTGTTGCTGCAATGTTTTTGGGCAGCATTCTGAAGAATAGAAAATTTTTGCTGTTGCTTTTAAGTAGTAGCAGGTCTATCCGTACGCTGTCAGTCAGTCAAAATTAGGGAAAAAGGACGTTTAAATTGAATTTCTGTATTTCTAGTAATTTTTATGGGCTACATGCAAATTTTTGTTGTTCATTATTTAAAAAAGTGGAAGATTTCTTTAAAAATTTTGATTGAGAAATATAGATTGTCCATATTTATTTCCTCTTTTTACTTTGTTAGATGAAAAAACCAACGTGATTCCTGTTATTCTATTTTTGAAAATAATCTGCGTTATTCGAAATAAATTTCTCAAAATCCTATTTAACTTTTCTCCTACTTTTCGAGTTTCTGATGTTGGAAATAAATTTTGTTCTCTAGGAGACCTAAGTAGAAAATTAGGAGCGAGGCTAACAAGTCTTTTGTAAGACAGGGTGCCGGTCTCTGGGGGCACATTTACTCTAAGAAGCTTCCAACTAGCATATAACGCATCGTTCGTGGTACATATAAGTAAATCGAGTTACCGTCACTATAGAAGCATCGAATTCTCTCCCTAACACTTTTTCTCATGTTTATTTCATTGGTAGTCGCACGCACCCCATAAAAGGAAAACAAGCACCTTCATGCATCTCTTCTGTAATATGATTTTCCCCTTTTCTTATACATATATGTTCCTCGCATTTTTTTTTCCTGTAGATCAGTTTATTTCTTTTTTTCGAAAAACTGATGTATGGTTTATATATGTCTCCTTACGTGCGTGTGCAAAGGCGTATGACAAAAATTTCAATAACCCAAAAGAGGATGAGGGCATCAGGATGAGAAAGACGACGATGTCAAACAAAAAAAAAAAAAAAAAAAGAAGAAGAAAGAGGGAAAAGGTTGGCTGCTCGTTCACCTCACTTCTTGAACTCCATTTGCATTCCTGTCCTACTCGAATTTCGGAACGCATTGTGCACATTCTTGAAGTATTTTCATCCATGGAGAGATCTATTTCTAGACGCAATATTTTTTATATCAGACTGAAAATTTTATGAATTTATAAATTACATTTTCGTTTGAAAAATTATTGAGATTAGCATAATTTTTCTCTGTATATTAGGGGTGAAAAAAATGAATGATTTATTATGCTTGCTTTTTCCTCGCGAGTTTTTTATTTAATCTACAATGGTTGGAAAATATGTTTCCGGATTTTCTGTATATTCACATCTACTTCTATGATTATTTGAAAAATTTCCAAATATCAGAAAGAAAATCAATTTTATGTAAAGTAGTTGAAAATAGTTGGGTGTTCATTTAATTGAAATTCCAAATGTGATTGATGTGGTTGAAAATTTAAGTTTGTTAACTATTTATATCAAACTATCATTATAAAAAAAAACTCGGAAGAATTTAAATTAGTAAAGTCTGGCTGTGAATGAAATTCAAAGTGTGAGGGAATCATTTATATTTAAATTTTCCATGTTGGTTATTATTTTTTTTCGAATTAAATGTGTATATAATTCTTCGAGACAACTTGGATTTTGTTGAATCTTGTTTCACTTTCATTCATTTTCCTCTTATATTTCTCTCCCCTAATCCTTGAATCGTTACAACAATTTACAATAGCTGGAAAAAGTTTGTCGACACTTCCAGCGACGAGTTTCTCCAAGAGTTTACAAAAGGGGTAGAAAATCCGCTAAGTACTTTTCTCTATTTTCTTTCCTCGAAAATGCTTCGAGAGACGCTTTTTCGCACGATCATTTCGAGTTAAGAGAATCTGTCTGTCCAATTAGTTTATAACGTTTGTTAAGTCGAAAAGAGAGTTGAGACTATTTCAGAAATATTGTATTTCTTTTTTATTTTACTCTATATATTATTATAATTATTATAATTATAAAAATAAAATATACTTTTAATGTTTGTCTTAATTTTTCATATTTGGTTTTTTTAAAAGTATAATTGCTCCCTATTTTGTTATTTATTTTCTAATCGAATAGAATTTTAATAGTTATTAAAGAGAAATTTATGTGTTTTTAAAAATACAAAAATAAAAAAGTGATAAATTTCCTTCTTTTTATGACAGTTTTTTTATCCGAGTATGACTGAAAGCGGTATTTTTTAAATTTTATGGAAACATAAATTTCGAATAAATAGAAAAAACGTTGTTTTTCTTCTCTTGACGTCAATAAGTTTGCCGTAATATATGGAGAGTGAAGTTTCTTGTACTAAATGTTTAGGCTTCACGACACATAAGAGTCACGTTTCATGTATACTTGTTAACACATTGAAATTTCTTTTCACCTCTTGATAATCTTTCTTTCATAGTATGTTTTTTTTTCTCTTCGATTTTTATTTCAATTTTTCCCTCAATAGAGAGTCGAGTCTTTTTAAAAATCGAAATTATTGGCACATTGAACCTGCTAAATGTTCTTGTGTTTGAAAGTGAGGATCTTTCAATGATATTCAGTGTATTCTGTACTCGTAACTTATGTTAATTTTACAAGGAGTTACTCTCTAAATTTGAATCAGCGAAAAGTCGCTGATTTACCAGCCCAGAGTATGCAGCTGATGAAATAGCGTATATACACTGATAAAACAGCGTATATGCACTGATTTTCCAGCGTATATACGCTGTTTCATCAGCTGCATACTCTGGGCTGGTGAATCAGCGACTTTTCGCTGATTCAAATTTAGAGAGTAGAGAATACAAGAAAGCTTTTGATATTCGTATATTGTGATTATTATCATACGGAGAAAATGAATATAGTAACTTTCACTATTTTCAAAGCAAAACTTACTCTGACGGAAACTTCTGCACATTTTTGGCAATTTTTACTATTTTTCGAGTAAAAGTAAATTATTTTTTGTGCTTTTGATTCGAATTTACTTTATTAGAATTATTTCATTGATTCGAATTATTTTAATATCGGAAAGCAGGGTTGCCACAGGTCAGGGAAATCAGGGAAAAGTCAGGGAATTTTATTAAAAGTACTGGAAAACATTAAATGTTTAGAATTTATAACAATATTCTCAATTTTTGTGTCTGACTCAAAAATTATGTAATTACCACGAATTATAAAAAACATAAAATTTTTTCTATCTCTGACAATGATTTTTTTTAACGCAAGCTTAATAAATATTACAATTCTTCCCAGAAATTCAATTATTTTCAAAAATTATAAAAAAAAGTTCTCGTTCAACAATTTTCAATTATCTTTATAAGTATCACAATTATTCGACAAATTTCAATTTTATTCAGGAATTTTAATAAAATTCAATATAAAATTCAATTATTTTCATAAATAACAATATTCATCACCAGAATTCAATTATTTTCAAAATTAATAAAATTCATCGCAGAAATTCAATTACTTTCACAAAATAATAAAAAATTGTCGTCAACATTTCAATTATCTTTATAAATGAATAGCAAAATTTTCCGACAAAATTCAATTATTTTTAGGAATTTTAATAAAATTCATTGCAAAATTCAATTAATTTCAAAAACTTTTCTTAATTAATTGATTTTCAATATTCTAGTATTTTATTATTAATAAAATTTGAAAATTCTTTTCAGGTAATTATTTATCATAAATAACAATACCTACTCATCACAAAAATTTAATTATTTTCAAAAGTAATAAAATTCAATTATTTTCATAAATAATAAAATTCTTCTCAGGAATTCAATTATTTTTAGGCATTTTAATAATATTCTTTGCATAATTCAATTATTTTCATAAATAATAAAATTCACCGCAGGATTTCAATTATTTTTAATACAATTTTACAGGAATTGCTCGAGAAATGTAATTATTCCAGAAAATTTAATCTCAATTCCTCGAAAAAATCAATTATTTAAAAAAAATTGTTTTTTTAAATTCGTTGGAAGAATTCAATTATTTACAAAAATATTAGAATTTTTCACAGGAATTCAATTATTTTCAAATACTTTAATAAAATGGTTCGAAAGAAATCAATTATTTTTAATACAATTTTAATTAAATTTTTTTGAAATAATTAAATATTATTCTTTTAGATTTTAATAAAATTCCCAATAATTAAATTATTCTTTTAGATTTTAATAAAATTCCCAATAATTCAATTATTTTGAGGTATTAATAAAAAAATTCTTTGCAAAATTCAATTATTTTTAAAAGTAATAAATTTCTTCTTGGAAATTCAATTATTTGAAAAAATTCTAATAAAATCGTTCGCAAGAATTGATAAATAACAAAATATTTCCCAAAAATTCAATTATTTTTAGGAATTTTAATAAAATTCATTGCAAAATTCAATTAATTTTAAAAACTTTTCTTAATTCAATGATTTTCAATATTCTACTGTTTTTAATAAAATTTTAAAATTATTTTCAGGGATTTATTTATCATAAATAACAATATTCTTTACAAAAATTCAAAATTATTTTCAAAAATTTTAATAAAATTTCTCCAAAGAATTCAATTATTTAAAAGAAATTTCAATAAAATTTCAATTACTTTTTAATACAATTTTAATCGAATTCCTCGAAAAATGTAATTATTCTTAAAAATGTTATTAAAATTCGTAGAAAGAATTCAATTTTTCAAAAATTTGTTGATAAAATTATGTAGGTATAAGATTTCAATTTTAAGAAGTACTCAATTATTTAATAAATTATCTTTTTTTATTTAAATAATTGAATTCTCGTAGAATTTTCTAATAAAAATTGATTTAAAAATTAATTTCAATAAAATTTTTTTATAATAATTGAATTTTGGAG